ATGTTGGGGGGCATGTGAGACAGATACCCCTCTCAGATCAGGATGGAGGGTTGGGAGAGAGGGTATGTGGGCACAGGAAGTGAGCTGGGAAGAGATGCCATAATTTTGTGATGTGGTTTTCAGACTTTCTCTCTTTATCAGCCTCCCCTGAATATACTTCAATTTCTCAGTTTTTCCATGTAAGGTATGGTACACAGCCCTGAGTCTAATACCACAGATACAGGGTCTCCCATACAGAGGGCCCACCCCATTCTAAGTAAGATGAGTAATAACATTATTACATTCCAACCCAGCCCAGCTTCTCACCTCTAATGGCAAGGTGCCCCCCCGCAACCAGCTCCCATTGTATATTGCTATCCTAGCACTTTATATTGAAATTATCCCTTTAGGGGCACCTGGGGAGCTCAGTCTGTTGAGCATCTGACTCTTGATTTCAGCTCCGGTCATGATCTCAGGGTCCTGGCATTGAGCCCCACATCAGGCTCCATGCTCCCTGCGCCCTCCCCCCTCCCATGCTCTTTCTCTCTCTCTCTCTCAAATAAATAAATTAATAAATAAATCTTTTTAAAAAAGAAGTTATCCTTTTAACACAGGAAAGTAGTAATCAGACATGCAAATTAAAATAATAATGGGAATGCTAGAGTGGGGTTTTTTTTTGCCTAGTTTTTGTTTTTTAATAATAACAATGTGATATTGAGGTATAGGCCCATTTCTTTCTTTCTTTTTTTTTTTTTAAGATTTTATTTATTTGACAGAGAGAGAGACAGCGAGAGAGGGAACACAAGCAGGGAGAGTGGGAAAGGGAGAAGCAGGCTTCCCGCCAAGCAGGGAGCCCGATGCGGGGCTCCATCCCAGGACCCCGGGGTCATGACCTGAGCCGAAGGCAGACGATTAACGACTGAGCCACCCAGGCACCCCTAGGCCCATTTCTTAAAAGCAATATAGCAACAAGTATCAAGAGACCTGGAAAATATTTAAAACAATTGGCTCAGGAATTCCACTTCTAGGACTCTACCCTAACATAATAATCAGCAGCATGGACCAAGATTTGCATACAAAATGTTGACTGCAGCTTTATTTATAATAGTAGGATCTGAAAACTAAATATACAAAAGTAGGGGAAAAGTTAAGTGAACCATAGTCTGTCCATGCAGCTCTTTATTAGTGTTGATAAATTTGATTTTTAAAGAATTTTTTTATTTAAAAAATTTGTTATTAGAAAGTAATACAGTTGACCCTTGAATAACATGGAGCTCTGGGACGCTAATACCCGTGCTGTCTAAAACCTGCATATAATTTTTGACTCCCCCAAAATATAACTACTAATAGCCTAGTATTGACCGGACACATTACTGATAACATTAACAGTCAATTAACACTTATTTTGTACGTTGTATGTATTATATACTATACACCATATTCTTACAATAAAATAAGCTAGAGAAAAGAAAATGTTATTAAGAAAACCAGAAGAGAAAATGCATTTACAGTACTGTAAAAAAAAATGTGTGTAAGTAGACCCACGCAGTTCAAACCTGTGCTGTTCAAGGGTCAACTGTAAGTGTAAAAAAGGCAGTACAGAAACATAAAAAATAAAGGTACAAGTTGCTCTGTGTGATTGCTATAGAAAAGGGAGTTTTCTCTTTCCACTGGGGTTGCCAAGCCTGGAAAATATGAATATGGGGCTGCCAACGGCCATCCTCCCCACAGCAGGAAGTGAAGTCATCTCTGGATGAAGCCAAGCACTGAGAAGCAGTCTGAGAGCTGGGGAGAAAGAAGGCCTGGGGAAGTGGGTTCTGCTTCTGGTCCCTTGAGATCCCGGGTTCTGCAGCTCATCTTTTGATTCTGAGAGCCACTTCAGCGTCTTTCCCATTAAACGAGCTAATAAACAGCCTTTCTGCCTTGACTTCTAACTGAATGAGTCATGACTAATACCAGGCCAGCTGCTTTGTTGGAATCAAATTATAGTGCTTGTGCTATAATTCTATTCTAATGATCAATTAATTCTTCCAACAACATGAAATGAAGTCCATGTGGCATGAAATGGGTTTGGTAAACCACTAAAGGTCCCTAAATAATCACCTTTCTTCATGGCCACAAATCATCCTGGGAATAGGCATCAAGTTCACAGAGTATAGTGTCTGGAATACATATTTTTCGTTTTTATGAAACTCAAGACAGCAAGTATTCATATTTAGTCTTAAGTCATCTCCTCCAACATATTTTCTCAAAGATCCATAATAAAGGCTTTGGGGTCATAATCTACAGCACTTTCAGTATGTTGGGATATAACTCATCTGGGTCTGAAGATTTTTAACCCGTTTAAGGAAAATTGGTGCTTTCTAGCACTGCACCTATTTTGGCTTTAATTCCCTCTCCCTGCTGTTTCCCTTATTCTTTACAGCCTGAGGATCATTTTCTTTGATAGAGAAAAGAGAAAACACAATCAAAATAGACATCGGGTATTTGTTTCTTTCACTTATATAGTCCCTTACCACATATCATATGGTCCCAAGCGATGGGATTATCTTTCTTTTTTCTTCCAGCTCTTAACACTGAGCATTAAAAATACCTCCTCCCCCAATTAAAAAAAAAAAACCCTTTTGTGGTTAAACCTCAGTGTATTACGTGCTGCCTACTTCTTGATCTCCCCTTTCACATCTGTGATCCTCTTTTATACTTTCTTTGTTCTGTGCCCTTTAACATCCTGATTTCATTGGGTTTGGGGTTCTTTGAGTGCACTCTTATTTCTTCCTCAACCAGATCTTTGGAGTTTATAGGTCAGAATCTGTTTCTAAGCATTAGAACCTTATTCCTCTGAAACCATATCCCTTTTTATAGTCTCTACTATGAAATCACATGAATGTAAAAAATACAATCTATTTTTGTTAAAAAAATTCCTACTTATGAGAAAGTCTGAAGCATAAAGAAGCATAAAGAAAGTACATAATGGCAGAGACTGCTGGCCCTCCTCTACCCCCGTCTCTGTTGTTTGCCCAGCAACTTCAGACCACCTCTAGACTGGGTAAACCAGTGAACTTCTCTGGGGTCGGGTAGGCAACTCATGCCTTCTCCAACCAGGTGCAAACTCCTTTCAAATTTATCTTTGAGTACTTGTCCTCAGCCCTAGATGTATCTTTTGGTTACACTTTTATCAGAGCTAATTCTTGACATTCAACTTCCCTTAAGCAAGGTAGAGAAGGGGGCAGAGGGGAGCAATCACCAACCAGTGGCATGGGGATGCCTTAGTAGTCTAGGAGCCAGCTGGAGTAGAAGGCTCTCGGAATGCCAAGGGGAGAATGGTGGGGTTGGGGGAGGAGGGGAAGGCTTGGTGAGGGAATGACTGCTCAGTGTGTGTGACCCTGCTGGCCACAGGTAACTGCCTGCCACTGAAGGGCTTGCCAAAGAAGTATGGGCAGGTGGCTGCCTGCTGGCCTCACAAGACTCTGGTTTCTGGGTTAAGAGGGCTGCAGGAAGGTTATTGCCAAACAAAAGCTGTACGGTCACAGAGGAATTGGGTTTGAGCCTGTGGCTGGAGCAGACCCCACTGGATGTTCTCAGGACCAGACTCCCAACTCTTGTACCACCCCAGAAACTGCAGGAAGTTTTTTCTTCCAGCACACTTTACTGAGAAGGCTTAACTTGGTGCCCACTTTGAAGGAGAAATGCTTAAAGGAATTCTGTTATTTATCATAGAGCCTATATTGAAGTGTGTGTCAGAGCCGAGAGGCAATACATTGATAACTGACACAAGGACTTATGTTTGAAGTCTTTAGGATTTACATAGAGGGTTTCGAACTCCTGACTGCAGATGGCCTATAAACCAACTAAGAATTTCAGTTTTTATAATGGGAAGTACCCCGATCAGTTATATATGTTCATTACAAATACAAGACAATTCAGAAGGCTAGTAAGTATAAAGTGAAAGTCCTTCATACCATTCATTCATCAGAGATAAACAGTTTTAATAATTTGGTTCCTTCCAGACTGCTGGCAAATATATGATTAACACAAAACGGATGCCATGGGGACTCTTTTTAAACTTTTTTAAAACTTACTCTATCAAGGGCGCCTGGGTGGCTCAGTCGTTAAGCATCTGCCTTCGGCTCAGGTCATGATCCCAGGGTCCTGGGATCCAGTCCTGCATCGGGCTCAGCGGGGAGCCTGCTTGTCCCTCTACCTCTCTGTCTCTTATAAATAAATAAATAAAATCTTAAAAAAAAAAACTTACTCTATCAAGGAATCACTGTATCTTTCTGAGTCAACACACACAATTCTATTAAAGACATGCTACAACATGGTGAGATTTGGGGTTGCTATCCCTCTATAAAACCGTCCGATGCGGACGTATTTGGAATTAACTCCCCCCTTGCCCTGGGTTCTAGGGGCCTCTAGGATAAAACTGCTAAAGCTTCTTTTTTCACATACAAGATTCTCTCATTTCACTTGCACAAGTCGAGTCTTCCGCGTCCCGTCTGGTTCCTCCACAGCCAGCAACCCCAGCCCTGGCTTTGAAGAGGGTCTCAGACGCCTCCGGGAGACTCCCGAAGCGCCGTTCAGGGTCGGGCGGTTTACCAATTCCACGCCCTCCCGGGACTCCTTTAAGCCACCTGCGGGTGACCTCTGCCCTCCCCACCCTAACCCCGTCCTCGCGCTTACCGCCACCCAGAGCGTGCCCGGCCCCGCCCCAGCGGACTCGAGCTCCGCCAACACCGCCCCGCCATGGCCCCACCCACCTGCCTGGGTCCCGCCTACCCGGAATTACGCAATCCCCCTCGTCCAAGGCTCCGCCCGCTGGAAGCCCACGACGCTCACCGCTCCTCCCCCCACACCCCCCGCCCCCTTCGCCCTGGCTCCGGAACCCGCACGGCGCTTCCCGCCCGGGCTCCGCCCACCGGAACCTGCCAAAGCCCCGCAGCCCGGGCTCCATCCAGCCGGAACTTGCACCGCCCTCCTGGGCTCCGCGCGCCCGGAACCTGCGTCGTTCGCTCCGCCCAGACTCCGCCTACCCGGTCCCTGGCTCCAGCGCCCGGGAACTGCACCAGCTGCCCGGGCTCCGCCCCGAGGACCCTCGCGGCCCGCCGAGCGCCGGCTCCTCCCCCGAAGCCTGCCCGCGGGACTGGTGCAGTCGCTTCGCCTCAGGCCCGTGCCCTGGCCCAAGCCAGCCCGCCATGGAGGGGGATGCCCCCGCCGCTGCAGCCGCCCGCTACCAGCCGGCCAGCCCCCCGCGGGACGCGTGTGTCTACAACAGCTGCTACTGGTGAGGGGCGCGGGTGCAGCCCCCGGCATCTCCCTGGCTCCCTGGGTCTCGGCGTCGCAGCCGGGCCCCGCCTCTTCTCAGCCCCTCCCTGGGGGCGCTCTGGGCCTCCACTGGCGGGTTTTCCCGCTTGTGGGATGAGGGAGCGGGAATGGCAGCCCTCGTCTCTTGAGTGGAGCGTAGGCATTTGGAGAGGGGGGGAGGGGCGGAATTCCCAGGAATGCTAGGGTCGGTGGTGCATTACTAATGCCCGGCGCTTTTCGCTTGGACATTTCTCAGCAGATCTCAGTGCTTGGGGGCCGGGAAGGGGAGTTGGAGGCGGAGGGTGGAGCGCGGAGAACCTCTGCAAATTACTCTGCTGGAGCCTTTGTGGTTTCACACTCATTTTAATTTTGAAAGAGAATGGAGGAACGGAGATTTTGCAAATAACTTTCCCAAGGTCATCAGCTAATAGCGACCAGGAATCCATTTCAGGCCTTCCTGTACCAGAAACCATCATGAGCCACCATGTTGTCATTATCATGCCCATTACATTTACATAGCACTTGCTGTATGCCAAACATTGTTTTGATTCGCTTGTGTAAACGAATTCATTTGAGCCCCACAATTACCCTAGGAGGTAGGTGTTTTTGTTATCCCCGTTTTTAAAGATGAGAACACTGAGGCACAGAGGGGTGCAACTAAGGCCCTGTGTTGGGCTCCACGCTGGGCATGGAGCCTACTTAAAAGGGGGGGTGGGGGGCGCTTATACTTGGAAATGCTGGCCTTAAGGCCACATACCTTGTGAATGAAGAAATGGGGATTTACCTGTAGAGAGTTTGGCTCTGAAGTCTACACACTATACCCCTGTCCCAGGCCACCTGTGTGGCCAAATCACCCCTTCTGGAACCTTGGTCTTTTTTACTCCCACACCCGAGTAATGACTTCTTCCCCAACCTCCAGTTGCAAAAGAAACCTCAGGCCCATCTAAAACTTCCTCCTTTAGCTGGTCATCAAACCAGTGTCACCAAGAATTTAACATTTGTTCAGCTCTGCCTGCCTGTCAGGGCAAGTGCCGAGTGTTTCCATCCATGGCTCGGAGATAGGTTCTATCATTTACCTCATTTTATTAGTGAAAAGAGGGAGCCACAGAGAGGCTGCGTTTAAGATCACACATCTAGCAAGAGGTGGTCCTGAAATTGGAACTTCTGTAGTATAGGAGTCCATGATTCTTAATGACTGCACTTTATTTCTGTCTTACCTCTCAAGTAAATCCCCTTAGTTCTTGTCCCTAATGTCCATTCATTGTTTTATTTATTCATTCGATAAATGTTTATGAGGCACTTGGACTGTGTGGTGCAAATTGTAGGCACTTTGGGATACAACACAGGGTAGACAAATTCCCTATAAGATCTCGTGGTTCATATGTTTTGGTTCAGGGAAAACAGGCAAAACCAAGTAAACCATGTTTGGTGTTAAGTGTTATGAGAAAATAAAGCAAGGTAAGGGATGGTGACTCATTTTTTCATGATGGATATTTAAGGAAGGCATGGTTGATAAAGTGGTATTTGAGCAGAGATCTGAATAAAAAGGGGTGGGAGCCTTGTAGATATTGGAGGAAGATCATTCTAGGCAGGGGAGCAGTGGTGCAAAGGCTCTGAGAAGGAAGTGTGCAGGAGTATTCTAGGAACAAGGTAGCTGGGAGAGCTAGAGTGGAGTCATCTGGTGGAAGCATGGTAGGGAATAGACATCTCTTCAATAGATGGTCTCCTTTAAGTTCCTTCAGCCATGGGCCAGGCCCTCCTTGGCTGTCAGTGGCCTGTTGCAGTCCTTCCTTACAGGCCTCTGCCCAGATCTCTCCTATCCCCTCAGGTCCTGAACCTTAGCTGGCTTCACACTGCTGAAAGCCGTTCTAAATTCAAATGAGCCCTAGAATCACCTGGGAGCTTGTAAAGCATGCAGATCTTAGGGTCCCACTCCACAGAGTCTGGATGTGTGAACAGTGCAGTGGAGGAGTCTTAGGCTCGTCCATTTATCACATTTTCAGGAATACAGTCACAGACAGTGAAGTCTGTCTCCTGAGCATAGCAGGTCCTTTCAGATCTGGTCACCATGTGTTTCTCCAATCTCATTCTGAACCTGCCTTCTGTTCTAACCCAGGGCTTCTCCAGCCATGGCTTTGTTGACATTTTGAGCATGCTAATGTTGTGGGAGGCTGTCCTGTGTATTGTAGGGCGTGTAGCAGCATCCCTTGCCTCTACTCACTAGATGCCTGTAGCATCCTCACCCAATTTGTGACAACCAAAAATGTCACCAGATAGTGCCAAATGTTCCCTGGGGGGCAAAATCGCCTCTAGTTGAGAACCAGTGTTCTGCCCTGTCTTAATCTATCAGGTACGTGCACCTTACTACGCTTGCTCCTGCAGGTTCTTATAACTTGAAATAAATGCCTCTTTTCTGCTTCTTTAGTCGGATGTTATTTATCTGTTCAGATCTAGCTGAAAGATAATAGTGGTAACCGGTATTTGTGTGGCACTAGGTGGTTTGCAGAGCATGTCTAATTCAATTGTAATTGTTTGTATTCTTTGAACAGTTGAGCACCTGCTGTGTGTCAGGGATCCTTCCTTTCTGCATGCTTCTCTGACCTCAGCCCATCACCAGTAACCCTTGCAGAATCTTGACCTTAATGCTGCTTTGTTAGTCTTTCTGCTACAAAATAATCAACCAGTAGGTTGGAACATTATTATTACAATCCCCCTCTTTTTTAAAGAGGTGCTAGGACTCACACCAAATCTGAGGGTCTTCCTATCCCAACAGTAACTCCCAGCATTTCCAAGTATAAGCGCCCCCCACCTCCCCTTTTAAGTAGGCTCCATGCCCAGCGTGGAGCCCAACACAGGGCTTGAACTCACGATCCTGAGATCAAGACCTGAGCTGAGATCAAGATTTGGATGCTTAACTGACTGAGTCACCCAGGTGCCCCAAGGCCCCCCTTTTTTAAACATCAAATGTTTCTTGAGATCCTCCTATATGATATTAATTGTACTTGTAAAAAATTGATAAAAAAGGACTACAGATTCAGTGACGCCTATGTTTAAGTTTTTTTTTTCTCTTTGTAACATTCACACATACTTGAAAAATAATAGACAAAGTTTGTCCATCCACATATGTACTCAGCTTGCCAACAGTATTGGTGGTACACTCGGATTCTCAAACTCTTCGTTAACTCTGTGCTCATCCTTGGGACTGGAGGAGGGGAACAAACAATGAGAAGCCACTGACCTATACCTCCTCCATCCTCCTGTGTCCTTCAAAATTAATGGCTCTCTCTTCTATGCATCTTTTATGGCCTTCTCTGATGCTTGCTTATTTATGGATCTGTATGTCTCCTCTCACTGTCTGTGAACTCTAATTTATCATTACATCCTCCAAGCACTTAGCATAGTGCTTTTACATCATAAGCTCTTGAAGATGTCTTCGATCAACTCCAGAATGTCTGCAGGCTGGACAGAAAAATGTCTTCTGAAAACTTGGTCTTAGAACATCCAGGTTCCATGTTTGGAAATTAGGCTTTGACAGATTGAGTCACGAGTACGAGCAGAGTGTTGATGCAGCTCATTTTGAACAAAGGTGAGGTGTGGCTCTTTAGAAAAAGATAAGAATCCAGAAGCTGAGCTATGAATACTGCCAGCAATGGTTGATTTTGCCTGTGTGGGACTGTGCCTGTGGCTACCAGTGTGGCTTGGTTTGATGCACTGGGCATTGCTTTGCTTAGGTGATTCTGACTACTGCTTTAAATACCTAAAGGCATGTCATAGAGAAAAGGAGATTCATCTGGGGTAGAAGTATAGGAAGATGGATTTCAGTTCAGTATGAGAAAGGACTTCCTAAAAGTCAGAACCTCTTTTGTACCAGAGGGATGCAGGGAATCCTACTTAGAGTCTCCCTCCAAAAGAATTCCTCGGCATATCATGTAACTGCTCCCCGGTCCTTTCCAGCCAGAAGCCCTGCTCCCCAACACACTCATCCTGCCCCATTCCTAAGGGGAGCAGTGAACCAATATTAACTAAGATTTGTCAAGTATTTGATTATCCCCATTTTACGCATTGATTATCCCCATTGATTTGTCAAGTATATGATTATCCCCATTTTACGCATGAGAAAAGCAGATAATCAGGTCAGGATGTTCAAAGCTTCTTACCTCGTAAGTGGCTGAGTTGGAATTCCAGCTGTATCTCAAGTCCCTGGATCCAAAACTTAGGGAGTATTGATGTAGCATCTTATCAGTTATAAAATGCCTCCATGTGCAAGCACTGCTGGGGCAGGTAGCGAGCATTCTGTTTGGAGAGAGGTCGGCACACAGTATAAATTGGGTCACACCTTGTTGGGGATGTTTTAGAAGAGGGTCAAACATCAGTCAGTTATTCGATGAGGTGGTGTTTAAAATCTCTTCCAACTTTTTTATGTCTTCATCAGTCTTCTGTTCAAATTTGAAAGATACAGAGCACTATTGCTTAATTGTGCTGATTAAACTATTATTTTATTTCAGTGAAGAAAATATTTGGAAGCTCTGTGAATACATCAAAAACCATGATCAGTATCCTTTAGAAGAGTGTTATGCTGTCTTCATATCTAATGAGAGGAAGATGGTAAGTTGGTGAGTGATTGCAGAAAGAGAACGAGACTTATGGTGACAATAGGAACTAAATATAGTATGGGGTCAGCACTGTCCCAAAATGTGCTTTATAAAATACAGCAACATTTTAAAGTTTATTTTTGAATGAGTTTTTTTTTTTTTTTTTTTTTTTCCTTTCAGGGCACAGTTGGGTTAGAAAAGTTTAGTCCCTTATTTGTAGGTCAAGAAATAGATGACGGGGAGCGCCTGGGTGGCTCAGTCGTTAAGCGTCTGCCTTCGGCTCAGGTCATGATCCCAGAGTCCTGGGATCGAGTCCCTCATCGGGCTCCCTGCTCCACGGGAAGCCTGCCTCCCTCTCCCACTCCCCCTGCTTGCCTTTCCTCTCTCGCTGTGTCTCTCTATGTCAAATAAATAAATAAAATCTTTAAAAAAAAAAAAAAAAAGAAATAGATGACGGTATACACAGATTAAGTCCCCTCTCTTTAGGTATTAAGTTAGAGCTTTTTAAATTGCTTAGGCTAGAGCCACATACTCTCAGGTTTGAAGTAAAGATGTTTTTGTCTCTGGAGTTTAAATAAAATTATGGTAAATTTACATGAAGTATTAAAAAAGCAAGCCTTTAAAAAAAAGTAAGCCCTTAATATTTTGTAAAGCACTTTAAAAAAATATTTAAAGATTCATATTTTTAAGTAATCCCTACATCCAGTGTGGGGCTTGAACTCACAACCCCAAGGTCAAGAGTCACATATGCTACCAAATGAGCCAGCCTGGCACCCTGGGAAGCACTTTTGTAAGCATCATTTCATTTGATGCTAATGGAAACACAGTAAAGTAGGCAGGCTTCAGACAACTATCTCCATTTTATAGATGAATAGAGGCTCAGGGAGGTCCCACAAATAATGTAGGAAAGCAAGACTTGAACCTTCCAGGCCTTCTGATTCCCTGTTGAGCTCTCTGTCTACTCTCCAAAGAACATCAGATAATTTTTGCATTTTCATTGTTAAGAACACTTCGAAGGATTTAGATTTCTTCTTCATTCACCTGATTGTTGGTTGCTTAGAAATATTTTATATTTTTGTATTGCTTTAAAGAATGTAGTAGTGGTATAACTGAAGTTGTGTCTTATGAAATTGATTATATTTTGTAGATACCTATCTGGAAACAACAGGCAAGACCTGGAGATGGACCTGTGATCTGGGTAAGTTGGTCAATTCAGAGAGCTTCTGGTGCATTAGTACTTGTAATTCCTGAGTAGTCTCTATGTTTTGTTAAAGCAGAAGTGGTTAGAGCAGTAGAGAAAGGCTATGATAATTATTGATAATTGACCTCTTGGGAATAGATGTTATTTTGTCTAGGGTAGTACTTACAGACACGTTTTCATTTAATTTTATTATTACAGGAGAGATTTTATTTTTTTAATTATTATTTTTTTTTAGTGAGCTCTACGCCCAATGTGGGGTTCGAACTCATGACCCCAGAATCAAGCTTTACATGCTCTACCGACTGATCCAGCCAGGTGCCCCATATAGGAAAGATTTTAAATAGCTGATGTGGCAGATATATTTGTGATCTCCTAGGCTGTTATCCATTTAACACTGGAAGGAACTTCAGCAATATCTAGTCCAGCTGCAATTAGAATTATCTGCATATCATGTTAAAAGTATAGGTTTCTGATTTAGTTGATTTAGAGAAGGTTCAGGAGTTAGTGTTCTTAGCACACTTGTGAGTGACCATGACTAGCATTTGAAAAACCTGGATCTACTGCAGCCCTTCCATTTTTCAGGTGAAGAAACAAGCCCTGAAGAACAGTGAGAAGCTCGAAGTTATCTAGCAGATCAGTGGCAGGACTGGGTCTCAGCCTGGGGTCCTTTCTAGTACACATCTAGGTGTCGCCTTAACCTGTCCCCCTGAAGAACTGTTTATGCTAATAACATGAAGATAAAGTAAAAGAAAAACTCCATTCCTGATAATGTAACCAGCATCTATTTCTGATACTTGTTTAAAATAAGGTATCATTTGAATTGGTTTCATCCATTTATTTAACCTATATTTAAATAGACTAAAATCCCTGGCCTCACAGAGCTCACATTCTTGCCTCCTTTACCAGCAGGTGATTTGCTGTGCTAATATTAAAGCCCAAACCCAGTTTTGGAGTTAAGTCCCAGTCCCCCCATTGGTGGCTTTATGAACTGGACATGTTATTTATCTTCTTACCTTCAGTGTCCTCCTCTGGCCAGTTGCGAGTCTTAAGTGACATAATGCGTGGGAGGCATTATTCTGGTACCTGGTACAGTGTTTGGTACTGGTGCTCAAGCTTTTCTTGTTAGCAACAATAGCTACGTAACCCTTGTTGCAGACTGTCCACGTGCCCTAGAAGTCATCCCTGTTGCTGAACCACTCAGCTGACTTTGAGTCATGGTCTTTCTTCTCGTTTTAGAGAAACTTGCAGGGAAAGGACCTGTAGTCATGTCCCCCTTATACAGCATCTCATGGCACCCCAGAATGAGATTCCTGTTACGAGAAGTCCCCCCACACCCTCCGGCAAATGTATCTTTGCCTCACTGCTGTCCTGTTGTAGGAAATCAGTACCCCGAGTGGGTAGAGACACCCAGTCCCAAGAAGCTGATCGCCTTCTAGGTGGGTTTCCCTCCCCTAGCCCAGCTTGGTCTCGTCCAGGCATCTGGGCAGGTGCTGAACCCAACTCAGAGAGCGAGGCTGCCGTTGATCTGTATTCCCTGACTCCACATCTGTGCTATAAAGGCGCCTTGGAGTGGAGGCCTGCTTTCCCTCTCCAGTTCGCCAGCCATCTGGGATGTGGGGGTATGGACCCAAACTAACTGGGAGGTTGTGGGTATTCATTACTTACGCGTTTTCCACAAGTTGTGCTTTCTTCCCAGAACACACTCCCCTCAGGCAGGACTCAGCCGCGGCAGCCTTTCCTCAGTGACATGTTCCTTGGCTTTTGGGCCCCACTCCCCTCCCTTTCTGGGTTGGCTTTTAAAAAGTGTTTCCGTAGGTAATCTCCTTAATTGTCCCAGCAGCAGTCTGCGGGAAGGGGAGGGGCCGAGGTTTGACCTGAAGGCCCTCACCTGTAGCCTCCTGCTCTTTGCCACCCTCACGCTGTCCGCAGCACTTGACTGGTTCCCACTCTCTGCTCCGCGAGCTCCTCGAGGGTCAGGACTTTCCTTTCTCATCTTTGCATCTTTACTTCAGTTACACAGTTTCTCACAGACAATAGAGAATATGCACTTCAAAGCCACTGGAATAGGAGGGAGATGATGTCAAGAGAGAAACAGGTTTTGGATGAGGCAGAGACTGGAGACTCCTGGAGAGAGCCAGCACGCAAGGGATGGTTGCGGGCGGGGGAGAGGTGGAAAGCTTGCTGCGGAAGGACGGGAATAACACGGACGCACCCAGTGGAAGGGGGGCCGCTCTCACTTTATTTATCTGGAGGGTAGCATGCATTAAGGGAAGTGCAGGGCATAACCATCCATTTCTGATGCTATTTCTGCCTTACGAAGATAGCACTGGAGCCAAACGAAGCTCTTTAGGCTTTGATGGCAGAGCATCTCCAGTCTTAATTAATCACCTTCCTCCCATCGTAGGGTCGATGAAACAACGTTTGAGAAAGTGCTCTATAAGCCCTGAAGTACTAGAACTATAACGTGGTGGGACTAATGCGGTACTATGAGCCTTTTATCTCCCAGTCCTGTTCTCTGTGAGAGCGCCTTTCTTCCGAGGGACTCAGAGCATTTGACTGCCCTCATGCCCCTTCATAACTTCCCTCCCGTCCCTTCTAGCCATTAGCTGGTGTTGGGCAGTGCCCAGCGTCGGGGACTGAGTGGTGCGTCCCAGCTGAGCCGCACAGGGGACACTGTCTTCATCTTTCCTCCTTAATGGCTACAGACTGGGGTTGGCCTGTTTAACAGCAACAACACTTTAAAGTTCTTCTTTCACATTGCAGGCTCGCCCAAGCAATCCCCTTTGTTAATACTTGGAGGGTATCCTTGCACCTTTTGCTCTGTATTCATATGCATGCATGTGTACTTTAGAATGCACATGTGTGTCTTTGTATACACATAGCTTTTAAAAAACTAATGTACATATTTTGCAATTTACTTTCCCCATCTGACTATGTAACATATCCATTTTCCCATTTTCTGCATAAATTTACCTAAGTTTTTTTTTTTTTTTTGGTGGCTGCATTGTGGTTTATTTCTCTCATGGTGGGCTTTTGGTTGTTTCTGAATTTTCACTATTGTAACCAGTGCTGCAGAGATTTTCTTTGTATATATATATATACCTTTACATGCGTATGGCCATTTTTTTTCTGTAGGATGGGTTCCTAGAGGTAAGATTGCTAGGTCAAAGGGTATACATTTAATGTATATGAACATTTCCACTACTTATTTAAGTGTTCCCTGTCACTGGACATTTAGTCTTTTTGGGGGGTTTTGTGTTTGCTTTGTTTTATTTTGCTATTTTAAGAAGGGTTGTATTAGTCTTGTATTCATTGTTAATGATTATATATGAGTTATTACTGTGACCTTGGAATTCACCATCATGAAGTAACTTGGTTAACCTCAGCAACTTTTACTTCTAGGATTACCATGTTGTCCTGCTTCATGTTTCAAGTGGAGGACAGAGCTTCATTTATGATCTTGACACTGTGCTGCCATTTCCCTGTCCATTTGACACTTACGTGGAAGATGCCTTTAAGTCTGACGAGGACATCCATCCACAGTTTAGAAGGTGAGGAGATTCAGGATGGATTTACCTACTTTCTGAAGTTAGACCTTGACAGTTATACAGAGAGTTTGTGTGAGTGTGTCTGTATGTGATTTTCTATTTCTTTGGCATTTGTTTTGCAAAGATCACTTGATTTGGCATCGCCATTGAGTTGATATTTAAAAATGATGTGCTATACAGAAGATTCAAAATGTTTTGAAGTTTTAAGAGTTGTCCAACATATAAAAGGTTGGCATTCTTTTAAAAATGTGTGTGATGAGATCCCAAATGTTTTCTGAAAGCCATTTTGGGGATTTCTGTCATACATGTGTATGTGGGTGGGTGGGTGGGTGTGTGGGTTGTGACCTTAATGATGAGAAAATTGAGGGGTCTGTGATGGCAGGACCTGAACATTATGCCCTTTACGCTTGAAACACAATTGAGTAAAGAAAGGCACCTGGATATATTTCTGTTCCTGTGTAGTTTTGGATTTCAGCTGATCCTTTCTCAAGGTTTCTTTAACAGGTGATAAAGCTCCATAGATATTTGTGTATTACTAATAGTACAAAAATGCCTGGGTACTTTTGTGTATGTCATAGAAAATGAGTCTGTATAAAAATTGAGTGGGAATTTTACTATGAAACCTTCCTAATGTAAATGAATGTTGCCTTATCTGCAGGAAATTTAGAGTGATCCGTGCAGATTCGTATTTGAAGAACTTTGCTTCTGACCGATCTCACATGAAAGATTCCAGTGGGAACTGGAGAGAACCTCCTCCATCATATCCCTGCATTGAAACTGGAGGTGAGCCAAAGATGCCTTCTCATAGAGGTTTCTGATCACCGTGCAGATCAGCATTGCCTCTTAACCAGGGACAAGAAGTGTGTGTTATTCTTTGTATGAAACTCCCTGAGTCGTAAGAGGGTAAGAGGGAGCACAGATGTGCATATTTATTAGGTTCAGAAATTGAGGCACAGAGAACAGGACTGGAAAGCGTAAGAGCTCGCAGGGAGGGGAGGTGTTCAGGAGCAGACCCACGAGAGCTGCACGCCGCCTTGCACCCTGCCGGGGTGTTGTGCCTCCTGCTGGGACACGGCCTCAGGAGGTCTGCGCGCTTGGGTCATTTAACAGTGGGACAAGTAGCACCTTGCCATGGTGGGGTTTCACGTGAGGGTGAAAGTCCCTAGGGCATCCTTGCGATATGTGAAATATCATTTCCCTGGCTCTGTGATAAAATCTGCATTAGAAGGAAGTGAGATCTAGCAGGTTTTATTGTACCACTCATCACATTTATGTGCTTTTAGATATCAGTCCAATTAATTTCTGAGATTTAAGTAGATAAAGAGTTCTTCACCCTATTACTATTGTTTGGCATTCACACGAGCTTGAAACGTTATTGATGATTGTAAGTAATTCTCAACGTTTGCCATTTCTTGGTGAGGTCATCCTGTCGTGGGGATGGGACCTTCTGTATGAAAGTGCTCTGTAAGCTATACCACATACCAGAAAAATAGGACAGTGGCATTCAGAGTTGAGCAAGGAAGAAAATAAATATATTTGGTGTATTTGAAAACTGAAAGAGGATTCAAACTGATTTTTGAGGCTCTCTCTGAAAAACTGTCTCTCATGATTTTAAACATTTATATTGGAGTTGCTTTTGGGTCTGCCAGCCTGCTTGCTAGCCTCAGCGTTAGCACTGGGGACAGCTCCTAGGTTAGGAGGGGGTGTCATAGATCTTCCTTTTAGTCTCAGGCAACCTGCCGTATAGGGTGTGGCCTGGGACAGTGTGCCTTCAGCCACCCGCCATTTCTCTTTCAGATGTGAGCACCCAGCACAGAGCCTAGCACGTAGTAAGCACTCAGTAAACACCAGCCTGTCAGCCCGGATCCTCTTTGAGTCATTCCTTTTGGTTTTGATGACTAATGCCCAGTAGATGCTATTTTGTGCCAGGCTTTGGTGCCAGCCACTTTACATAGTAGTTTAATAGAATTTTTACCACAGCTCAGGCAAGCGTTATTTTCCACATTTGATAGATGTGTAAAGTGAGGTGCATGAAGGTTAAGCCCTTTGCCTCGGATGCACAGCTAGGCAGGATGAAGAGGGGGCATGGTGGTGGTGGTTTCTGCCTTGTGTGTGGTTTAGTTCATCAGGGACCTCCTGAACTTAGATCGAAACTAAAAGGAATCTGCTCTGAAGTGTGGGGTGAACATATGGGTCTCCCATGTCATAATTTAACGACACTGTAATGTTCTCTCATGTGGTAAACTCAGTACTTCAAATGCTGTGTTTATCAAAGGAATGTATTTGAAGTTAGGATAAGTGAGAGTTACTTTTAGCTAATTAGTAGTGTTTTACAAAAAAATAAAAAAGGTTAAAAAAAAATGGTTCAAGAAAAATATTGAACCCTAATGCCTGTTTCAGGTACTTTAATAGCACTTCCCTCCATCCCCTGCATTCAGTGGTGGGATTGACTCTTAGGGCTTGAATTTAGTACATTTGATATGTTGACCATTAGGATTATATGATTAATAATTTTGGTGGCCATATGTCTGCAAGACCACTCTTTTCAGTTCAGCATTTAGTGTATTTTATTTTTATTTTTTTAAAGATTTTATTTATTTATTTGACAGAGAGAATGAGAGAGAGAGCACATGAGAGGGGGGAGGGTCAGAGGGAGAAGCAGACTCCCTGCCGAGCAGGGAGCCTGATGCGGGACTCGATCCCGGGACTCCAGGATCATGACCTGAGCCGAAGGCAGTCACTTAACCAACTGAGCCACCCAGGCGCTCAGCATTTAATGTATTTTAAAGAAAGGAACTATTTTTTTTCCCCCAATGAGAAGGAAACTGAAATTTATAGTCGTATCACCTTGCCCTGAAGAGTCAGTTCCAGCACTAGCCACTGATGGCTCAGTTTTTAAAGACACTTCCTAAGTCTTGGGCTGAATTATAGAGCACACCAAATTTCCCCCTCTTTCTGAGTCCTTTCCTGCCTCTTGTCCGCATATACCTCCGATCTTCTTGCTTCCTAATGTCTAGTAACACTGGCTAATTTGAGCCAAGCTGGAGGATCAGTGTTAGGTAAACAGAAATGTTATAGTGCCTCATGGGGGAGATTAGAAGAGACAGATGTTTATTTATTATACCTTGATCTCTAAAAAAAATTTTCTTTATATTTTGTGTTTAATACATTGATCTTTTTACATAATGAATGGCTACAGATAGTAATCAGTTTTTATTTAATTACATTAAAGAGTCTTAACAAAACAGAAAAGGGGGGTGCCTTAGAAAACAAATATTGTTACTTCAAAAGCTGAGATTTCTTTTAAAAGCAGTTTGTTAAAAATTTTTGCAGACTTTTACTGGCCTCTGTAGAGTCTGGCATCCACCCACCCAGGTCAGTAGGAACTGCCACTCCATCTTTCCTGACAGGTGCCTGTCTTCCCTTTATTTCCGGTTATGTGGTAATCCAGCATTCCCAGCTCTCTGATGACTTCAACTAAAGTTCTGTGTTTGCTGATTACCTAGCCTTTTTGTTAGAAGGGTGTTAGCAACTCTGTTTCTAGTTTTCTACATTTTCTGTGCTTATCTGCATTTTTGAAAGATACAGTTGTGGGGTCACGGTCTCGGAAGCTAGGCTTACGTGGTTTTGCTTTCAGTTGTTCAAAGGCGTCTCTCGTTTTCTGCTTGGGTGGGCTCTGATCTTGTATTTGTTTCTCTGAATGCTTTCCACTCTCAATATTTTTAAAGGTTTTTTTCTTTGTCACTAGTTCTTAGCATTTTGATTAGGATGGATTGTAGTGTAGTTTCCTTTAGGTTTATTCCACTTGAGGCTTGTTAAGATCCTGAGATTGGTGGATTTATAGTTTTCATCAAATTTGAAAACTTTTGGCCATTATTTCCTTGCACATTTTTTTCTGACCACCAACCCTCTTTTAAATTCTTGTCCTTCAGCTACACATGTGTTAGATGGCTTGATATTATTCCTGTAGGTCAGTGATGTTCTTCTTTTTTTTCAGACTTTTTCTGTACATGCTTAATTTTGAATAATTTTTTTTTTTTTAAGATTGTATTTCTTTATTTGACAGAGAGAGAGACAGCGAGAGAGGGAACACAAGCAGGGGAGTGGGAGAGGGAGAAGCAGGCTTCCCACGGAGCAGGGAGCCCGATGTGGGGTTTGATCCCAGGACCCTGGGATCATGACCTGAGCCGAAGGCAGACGCTTAATGACTGAGCCACCCAGGCACCCTGAATAATTCTTTTATCTTGTCTGTAAATTCCATCGCTTTCGTCTTCTGCATTCACTAATTTGTTGTTAATCTCATCCAGCACATTTTTTTAAATTTTATATATTTTATTTTTTATGTCTAGAAATTCCATTTTGGACTGATTTAATGTCTTTCATTTCTCTCTCTCTTCATCATGCTCATGTTTTTCTCTACCCTTTTGAACATATGGGGCGTGTTTATAATAGCTGCTCCTTGTCTGCTAGTTCCATTATTTCTGTCATTTTAGTCCATTTCTGTTGATTGAAATTTCCCCTGGTTTTGGGTCATATTTCCTGTTTCTTTGTGTGATTTGTAAAATTTGGTTGGAGGCTGGACTTTGAATTTATGTTGTCAGTTGCTGGGTCTTGAGGTGCTTTTTAAAAACAGTGTTGGCATGCAGTTAAATTACTGGGAGTCAGCTGGGTCCTTTCAGGGCTTGTTTTTAAGCTTTTTTAGTGCAGGTCCAGAGCAGCCTTTCATCTAGTGTTAATTTAGCCGCAGTGCTCTGGTGCAGCCCTTCTAAGGACTCTACCAAATGCTCGTGCCTTACAAGTTCTCCCTCCCTTGGCTGGGGGGTGGGGGGGGGGACTGTGGAAGTTCTGGCAGTTATTAGATCGACTACATTCTGGTGCTTCTTTCCTGGCCCCGGGAGGTCAGTCCCAGCCAAAGACTTGGGTGTGTGTTGTGGTCAGGGTGGGTGGGGAAAGGTGTGGGGGGGTCCGCTCTGCACCCCCCTCTCCTGTACTCTGCCTCCTAGGTCCAGCTGCCCGGGCCCTCCCGAACTTAGATGTTTGTCTTCTCACCTCAGGAAGACTGCCACGCTGGGTGTGTTCCCCTCTGTGTGCTGGGCTCTGGACACAGCCCCCGAGGCCAGTAAGCTGGAGGGATCCAAGGGCTTCCCTTATTTGTTTCTGCTTTCTTAGGAATCCCAGGTGTGTGCTGCTTATTGTCCCAACGTCTGGAAAGAGTTGCTAAATATATTTGCATGGTTTTCTATAGGTTTATGGTGGAAGTGCAGTTTCTGTAACAATTTTTTGATGGGCAGATACAACAATATGTACATACTTAAAAATTTTTTTTAGTGTGGAGAATTTAAATCATATACCAAACTAGACAAAATAGTATGTCAGACTTTCAACAGTTATCAGTTCATGGCCAGTCAATTCATTTGTATCCCATCCACTTTCCCCCTTCTCTTATTATTATTATTATTTTTAAAGATTTTATTTATTTATTTGACAGAGAGAGACACAGCGAGAGAGGGAACACAAGCAGGGGGAGTGGGAGAGGGAGAAGCAGGCTTCCAGCTGAGCAGGGAGCCTGATGCAGGGCTTGATCCCAGGACCCTGGGATCATGACCTGAGCCGAAGGCAGACACTTAACGACTGAGCCACCCAGGCGCCCCTTGTATTATTTTGAAGCCAATCCCAGATACTATGTCATTTCAACTCTTAATATTTCAGTATGGATCTCCAAAATATAAGGCTTTCTTTTTTTTTTTTTTTTTTAAATATGACCATTGTACCATTATTACATC